ATATGAACCCCTGGTATGAACCCCTCGTTTATGGGTTAATTAACCGTCAGTTATTGCTCAATCGTGCACATCGGACCTCAAAGGGTCCCAGATGGCCATGGGTTCGTGTATGGACCTATAGCATCAGCCTTTGAAGCAAAAATCGAAGGGTTTGGGCGCTGCTCAATTGAGTTTTCTTGATTTTCAACGGGGACATACAGTGGATTCCTTGAAAAACTGAATCAAGCACATCCAGCTGCAACTCTCTGGCAGCTCGGTAAATTACAGGGTTCCCCGAACTCCACTGCTTGACATATTTGGTTCCTGAAAGGGCGAAGGCTTTCCCTTTGGTTTCCCCGTTTAACAACCAAAGCGAAGGCTTTCCCCGTTTCCTCGTTACGATGTCCTAAACAACTCCCTTTGGTATCTCAGTCATCATTCGTTTGCCATTGGTTCAATGTGTTTACCAACACCTTGTGAAGCCACCACCGCGTGCCTTTGTTTACCGACGCTGCCCTTGGCGAAGCCGTCTTTTTGTCCCCCCTATGTGCAACCCAGTTGCCGGCACGGAAAAAGGTACCCCATTGAAATCCGCCGTATGTGTAGCCTCGAGCGCGCTCGTTTCCAGCGAGGCTCCGGCGGCCCCCGGCGCTGATCTTTGTGCAGGCGGCCACGCTTCTGGCCGGTGGCCTGCCAGCGCTGGCGTCTCAGGCGAGAAGCGCGTCGAAAGCCGTCAGGGAAGGAGGTGGTTGGCAGCAACCCCCGGTAGACTATCCACACGGCTTAGCCTCCCACGTTGTGAAATTGGGCGTGTGATTTTTCAGGTTCGACTTTCCTTTAAAAACCACCAAGACTGGTGAGTGCCCTCAAAAGAGACGCCCTATTGGTAATACAACCTCCTTTTGGTTTGGAGAGGGGACCCAGGTCTGATTTAAACAAGTTCTGCCCGAACCTGTTGGTTAGCCGAGAAAAAGCGTGTGCGCGGCCGCTGCTCTCAGCAGCTGTTCGGGTTTGGAAGAGGAATCCCACTTCCAAACCACTACACCAGACGGAAAATGAGAATTTGAATTTACGATTTAGCCACTATAGAAAGAGCATACCCTGGACAAATCCTTTCATGTTTGCTTTCTTGTGGAAGCGAGCCACGCACGGTTGAGACATGGCGGCAAGGTGTCACATTTTGGTGGGGGGGCTAAAAGAGAATGTGTGCCGAGATTGCATGGACATGGCGAGTAATGTTGACCCCACATTAATAAACCCCTGTTTATTAATATGGGGGTGTCAACCTGGGTTTGGTGGGGAACCATCACTGGAGGGAAAAAACCCATACTGTGGATGGACGAAATCTTGCACCACCTAAGAAACCCTGGAATGATGATTCCCCTGTAAATACCAACAAACAAGGGATTCCCATGGTTTCCCAGTGGTGCGAAATGGATTGCGTCCATCCACAGTATTAATAAGCTGCGGTTGATGAATATGGGGTCGACATCAAGTAGCTTTGAGAACTGACTCGAGCCGCACCCCAGATCTAGGGGGGAGGTTTAGTTGGGAGAGTCCCACATGTCTCAACCACAAGTATGTGCGGCTTTCCGCCCTTTGGATTCTTTCCAGGGATCGGATCTCTCTTAACCCCTGGTTTGTGCATTGTCACTTGTCTCGGAGTCTTGAAGAAGAGTGTTTTTGTTTTGGAGGCGACCTAAGTTTTCCTTGGTTCAACGTTCAAAGGGAAGCCAAAAGGATACGCCTTTTCTGTTGGGGAGGGTCCCACTACACTTAGTGCAAGCGCATGGCTCCTCTAATCTCAGGTGCCGGTGATGGGTGCTATGCTCACCGACCAGGGCCAAGAGGCTGGGCCTCCATCTTTTGGGTCAGTACCCTTCACGCTCTAGTTGTTCGACTTCCATCAACCGCCTTGTGCACACCTGGCCGCTGTTTGTGCCCCCTGTTCTCTCGCTTCGGCAAGCTGGACTTTCGGAAAAGACACCAGCAGCTCAGACTCTTTTTTTGGCCCACCGACGCAGGTGAGAAGATCTTACCCTCTGGCTTTCGGTTCATGGCCCCGTCGACAAGAAAACTGGGTCCTTCTCCCAGATCCCAACTCGTAGAAGGTCCAATTGGTGTCCCGTTTTCCAACCACCTCACAACGGGAGAACGCTCAAAGGAAGGACGCATCCAGATAGATGCTTGGGACGCTTTCTGGCAAGGTCATGTGTTGAATGGAGCCTATCGGCCTATCGCTTGTGATTTGCTTCGTCCACCCTGAGAGGCATTGTGGCCGGGTGCTAGGGTTTCCGGCTGGATGCTAGATGTTTCAAAGCCAAAGAGCCGTCCTGACAGGGCGAGCGTTGGTTCAGCCTACTTCAGAGAAATTCAGGGAAAGTGCCGGACACCAGTTGAAAGTAATTAAAAGGGGGAGGGGTCAACAGCCAAGCCCTGTGAAAGGCCTGGGTATGTGTCAGAATCCGGGGAGCCCCCACATTGGTGGGTGCCCTTTAGCCGATCCCAAAAGGATACCCTTAAAGCAAACCAGCACATATGTTTTGTGAAGATATATGTATATATATATACACACAAGAAACATATATATATATATATATATATATACATGCACACACCTGATACCGGGGCCAAATAATTACGAAACCCCCAACCCTCCCATTCATATTATTTAGCCTAGGTGTTTGCTCAGGTGCCTCATTGGGTGCTGCCCTCTTTGGTGTCCCCCATGCTGAACACCAGCCGTTTGCGGGTGGAGCTGCCCTGTTGGTCTAACTCCTGTGAAGGCGCGGAAGGAATCGACTGCGACTCAGTCTGGCGCCCATGACTTGCTGGTGCGTAGGCAGGGAATGAGGGAATGGACCTGTCAAGGAAGCCATACTGTGGATGGACGAAATACATTTCGAACCACTTTTGGTATTTATAGGGGAATCATCATTCCAGGGTTGCTTAGGTGGTGCGAAATGGATTTCGTCCATCCACAGTAGGGGATGGTTTATAGAGGGCATGTCCTCATTCCCTGCCCATCGCACCAGCAAGATCAAGGTCCACTTGCGCAGGGATCCCTCCATTTCCCTCCAACGATTGTTTCAAGGGACGCCACTAGTAAGAAAATGATCCACTTGAGGGAAACATCCAGTGAGCTCTCAAGGTTCCGCAAGGTGCATGATGGTGGTCACTGCAGATTGTTGCAAGCCTAGAGCGACCTCACCAAGCTTTGGGTTAGCGTTCGCCTATGGTTGGTTTGAACCAGATTCCATGGCTTCCGCAAGGGACACCAAGGAGTTCATGTCAGTGGTTGACCCATGCATCAGACGCCTTGGAGGAGTTGGTGTCGAACTTTGACAGCAGTTATTTATTGATTAATTTATGTATTTATGTGTTTGTTATTTTTTTGCTGGTTATTTATATATTTATTGATCACTGGACCTGGCAAATGCGGTTGATTCCCATAACGTTGAGAACAGGGAACCACAGTAGAGTAGAATTGCCCCCCCCCCCCCCCGGCCTGGATTTCTTTTGACTTTCCAAGTCCTATCAGTTGCCCAACGGCGTGCTTTTGAACGGAGTTTCCTCCAAGGGAGGTCACCCATTGCAGGGGGGGCTGCTTTGGTGAGACACGCGGCTGAGTCGCTTTCCAAACCAGGTATCATAGAGGTCTACCCAAACCAAGGACTGTCCAGTACTAATCTTCGCTTGAACGGAGCTTGGTCGTGGCTCATTTGAGGTTCTTGCTGGTGTCTGCGATGTGTGGTCCTTTCTAGGAAACAAACTCTAGGAACATCTCCAGAAAGTTAGCCAAAAGTCCGCAACATGTGCTTGTGTTTCTCTAGGACATGCCCCTGGAGCTTGCTTCGACTCTAGCAGGTTGTTCACTTTTAGGCGGCAAGCACCTCAACATCCCCCCCTGTCAGGTTTCTGCAACAGCGAGCCATGTCGCGGGGTGAAGCACCTTGAGCCAAAGCCAACCACGCTTCCCTCTGATTGGACTGGAGCCCGGTGGTTTCGTAGGGTTCAAATCCCCAAACCGCCAGGTTACCTGAACCACTCTTTGCGCAGGACATAAAACATAAATCAACAAACCAATAGTCTCAAAATTGTGCAATGAAATGGACCCTAAAATGGGTTGGGACCGTCTTGGAACTTTCCATTTTTCCCAGTCCAAAAGCCCCAGTCCAAAAGCCTAGAAACCGCAGACCACCGCTGAAAAGCTGCCAAACAACACCGGAGGCGAAGGCCGGCAGTCGACGAAACTCCTGGCGCTGGTGATGATCGTCAAGAGCCACGGCCTCCATCGGCCTCAAAAAACCAAGGTCGCCCAAAGAACAGACTTCCTGAGTTCCGTTTCGGACTGTAGCCACTTTTTGGGAAGACAAGCAGTTTGGACTTGTTTGGGGTAATATGAGCATTTGAGCTGAAGAGCAGTTCTCCTTCTTGACGGATCGGTCGGATTTCATGTTGGGAGTTGGGAGAGGTGCGGAGCGCGTCATGCAATACAGCATGAACCGCGCCTCAAGAGCCTGGGACAAGAGGGAACAAGAGGTAGTGCGGAGGGAGAAGGAGGCCAAGCTGCAGGCACAAAGGAAGCGAGGGAGCTGGAAGCGGCTCGCGCAGCAGAAGCGGCAGAAGAGAAAAAGGAAAAGAAGAAGGCTAAGAAGGAAGCCAAAGAAAGCAGGAAGGAGGAGAAGCGGCAAGCCGCCGCGTACGAGCGGGTCAAGCAAGAAAAGAGGGAGGCGGCCGCCGCTGAGAAAAAGATGCGGCGCAATGCGGTCAAGAGGGAGCGCAGGAGGATGACCCTGCAGGACGGCGCCGCCCGCAAAACCTTGTTATTTTACACTTGGGCTGGCAGGACCGCGCCTCCGAGACCACAAAAAAGAAACTGCTCAAGGAGCAAGACGACCACGCTCGCGCGCGGCGCTTCGCGCGCTACCCAAGCGCCCGGGACTTACGCCCCGCTTGCGAGCGCGGCTGGACCGCGCTGTCAGCAGGCACCGAGCCCAAGCCGCACGAGGAAGAGGCGCGGAGAGAGACGTCTTTGGAGCGCCAAAACTCTTCGGCTCGCTCAGCTGGCCGATGCGATTGGCCCGAGATTATGACGAGTAGTTTTGTTTAAATGTTTAGCTCGACATGTCGACGCGTTTTTTCTCCTTTCTTTTAGAAATAGTTTTGCTGGGTGTAGCTCGAGACGCGGCTTGGTTTCTATTTTGCTTGCGGCAGGTGATCAGCCATAGCGTAGTCGCTTTTGCCCGACGATCAGCACGCGTTTTCTCCAGAGCCCCCCCTTTGACTTCAATGGTGCGAAGCGCTACTATTTCGTGGGGCAGCTGGCCCGACTCCTTTTTGCTAGGCCAGCCACGTTAGCCTCAGCCCTGTAAACCAAGAAGAGCACGAGGTTGAATCGCTGGAGGCGAGGGAGGCCTTGTGTGATCTTGGGAACGCCTCCTGAAAACCCAGAGTTGCCAAAAGGCACCTTGAGCAAAATCCTGAGTTCTAAAGCCACCTTGAGCTTGTCTGATCTTGGGAGCTGGCCCATACCTGGCGCGCGAGCTTGTGTGATCTTGGAACTGGCCGCCCAGGCATCAGTTCCCAAATCTTTGGAACTGACTTGCCAAAAGGCACCCTGGCCCAAAAATGCTGAGTCCTTGAGCTTGTGAGCTTGTGTGGTCTCTGGAACTCAGCTGCCAATAGGCACCTTCAGCTTGTGTGGTCTCGTGCCAGACTTCTACGCAGGGTCTGCAATGACCAAGTCGCCAAAAAAAAGGACGACGCAACACGATACGTTGTGACACGTTTGAGTCACGCGTCTTTTACAACAAGACACGTTACGATACAACTTACAAAAGCGTGCTGGGCATTTTTCCCCGAGTGGGCTGGGTCCTTGGGACTCGTCGGGGCGAGTTTTGCTGAAGACTTAAGCTCTTCCCTGGAATGACACTTAGCAAACTCAGAACCCTGGAACGGCAAGCCTTTCGCGGGCTGCAGCTTCGCCGCGGCGCTGCGCGCTTCCTTGACGCATAACATATACACACGTGTATATATATATATATATGTATAGTTGACATATAAACTAGGAACCCTGCAAACGTGTCCCTCCACACGCTGCAAAGCAGTCTGCATAGACTTGTCTCTACCAATGTGAAAGTTTAGACGCATGCCCAAGACTGTGCATCAAAATGGCACACAAGTGCACTGCATTGGCAGACTTGAGGCCGCCCGCGCAGTTTTTGGAAAATGCAGTTGCGCGCGAAGTTTCGGATTTTGATTTCCGACGTTCTGCATACACATATAAAAGTAGCGTGTGCCATTAAAGGCTTCGGCCTGCGACACTCCGCACGCCCCGCGACACCCCTCGCGCACTCATCCGCCCTCCACCTCGCACCTCGCGCCAGCCATGCGCTCCTGACACTCCAGAGGCCCACCAGCTTGCCAGCCATTGCACGCAGGACGCTACCGGACCCCCCCTGCCACACGCTCCGCCCGCACACATGCGCAGCTATCCGCTGCGGCAAGCTGAGCCAAGAGTGCCAGTAGCCCCCTGGCTCTGGGGTCGCATCACTCCAAGCGCGCAATCTTTCCACGGCATGTCCATGGCACGGCGTGGCTATAGAGACAAATAAACAGTTGGAACAAAAATGCAGAATCGGGGGTGAACAGCAAGTGGACTTACAACTCCTATACGCAGATCTAGCAGTTATAGGCGCTATATGTGAGTTCTACCTGAAGGAGGGTACAGCGTACAAACTCTGTCCGGGTCCTTCTTGATAAAAGCCCCTCTGCTCATTACATCTTAAATGTTTCGGCAAAATCCCCGCCCGCCCTCCCCCCCCCCCCCCCGGCCCCATCCTGTGCCTTCACTCTCGCTCCTCGCCGGTGATTTTTTTCGCCGAGGAACGAGGCCCGGCGCATCAGGGAGACGCTGATGTCGGTCTTGGAGGCGGCAGACCTGGCGGTAATCCTGGACACATGGCCAAATGCTTAGCCTCTCTCCTACTAACATAGCAACTGTGGGAGGGTACCTGGAGGATCAATTTCCTCTTGGAGGGACCGGGTCGTGCAAGGGGTAGCTTTAACCAAACCCATTGTTTGTTTGTTGTTTGCTTGTTTTTTTGCTTGGGTTGCTTGCTCGCTTGTTTGCTCGTACATTCGTTTGTTCCTTCGTTTCCTCACTGTTTACGCAACCTCTCCTGATGTTCATTTGTTTGTTTCCATTTTGGCCGTTTGCCTTTGTTTTCCACCAGCAAAAGTTTTTAACGTGCATAAACAGGGCTGTTTCGATGACGATACGGTTCGGTACCGCAAGCTCCGCGATACCACTCGATGTTATTGATATGTATTGCTTTGAATATCCGATAAACTTGCGACACAGCAGGGGAGTATTGAACAATATCTCGATAAAGGAATATACTCACCCGGCGCTGCGGCTGCGCGCTGGTGTGCAAGCTGTGCTGCCAACAGGCCGGGAACCTCGAATTCGGCGTGTTGTGTCGCCAAAAGCCCGAAAGAAGCAAGAATCGAGCCTACACATCTGCAGGTGCCAGAGCCAGAGAGAATCCACTACACCAAAGTACTCTTACAAACCTCCTCAAAAAAAGGTCTGAAATCGACATTGATTTTGGTTTGGTTGGAGCACTTGCCGAACCCTCAAAAAAGATCTAACTCGCCGAGTTAGGTTGATTTCTGGCCTTGGCTGGTTGCAGCCGTCCCGGATGAGCCCTGAGAAGTGGGAACCCTCAAAAACGATCTAACTCGCCGAGTTAGGTTGATTTCTGGCCTTGGCTGGTTGCAGCTGTCCCGGATGAGCCCTGGAAGTGGGTGTCCCGGATGAGCCCTGGGAAGTGGGAACCCTCAAAAACGATCTAACTCGCCGAGTTAGGTTGATTTCTGGCCTTGGCTGGTTGCAGCTGTCCCGGATGAGCCCTGGGAAGTGGGAACCCTCAAAAACGATCTAACTCGCCGAGTTAGGTTGATTTCTGGCCTTGGCTGGTTGCAGCTGTCCCGGATGAGCCCTGAGAAGTGGGAACCCTCAAAAACGATCTAACTCGCCGAGTTAGGTTGATTTCTGGCCTTGGCTGGTTGCAGCTGTCCCGGATGAGCCCTGAGAAGTGGGAACCCTCAAAAACGATCTAACTCGCCGAGTTAGGTTGATTTCTGGCCTTGGCTGGTTGCAGCTGTCCCGGATGAGCCCTGAGAAGTGGGAACCCTCAAAAACGATCTAACTCGCCGAGTTAGGTTGATTTCTGGCCTCGGCTGGTTGCAGCTGTCCGGATGAGCCCTGGGAAGTGTTCAACATGGAATCGGCTTGAAGCAGTCTCAGTCTGTTTTCTTGGCTTTCCATTTCTCCAAAGAGGGTCTCTTCTAAGCAGCCTCTCAAAGACTTTGCCAGCGCCTCCCGTGCCAGGCAGCCACCAGCACAGCAGCAGCTGGCTGCCGCCCTTCTGGCCCCAAAGGGCCCCTCAAAGCAAACCCCAACCGATACCGATACAAATCGGTATGATTCAAAACGATTTGCAGCGATAGTCTTCGATACGATGTGAGGTTGCGATACTTGCTTTTCGATACCGATAGCTCGCAATACGCAACGATACGATTCGGTATGTTGTATTTGTATTGTTGAAACGACCCTGATAAAGGTAAGCTAAATATTTTATGACATTTGCAATTCTAAAGGCGCTAACATTCTAAAGATGATAACATATTATAACCTTGGCCTTTCAGCCCATGTTGCCTCAAAAACCCGGCAAATCATTTGGCCCAGGACACGGGCTCCACAGATGGGACCCAGCGCATCCTTCGTGAGGTGACGTGGAGGGGGGAAGGGGGTAGCTACGTTCCCTGTCATGGAAGCTGAAGGGAAGTGGTGTGGGACCCCCGGACCACCATCTTTTTTGAGTTTACCACTTTCATGGTTGGAAAGAGGTTTGGGTGATTCCCATGCCAAACCAAGATGGTAGATTACAACATGGGTGACAGGGGGTATCCTTCCAGACCGAAAGCTGGAAATGCTCCGGAGACGTGGCGATCGTTGTCTGTTGCGGGTATGCCACACTTGTCCCAAGAAAGGCACCCTGGAAGCTAGTCATGTCAAGGCCTAAGATTGGACGACCGCCTGAAAAGACAGTGAATTGGCGTATGGATGTGTGTGTGCATGTGTGCATGTGTGCATGTGTGCATGTGTGCATGTGTGCATGTGTGCATGTGTGCATGTGGGAGTCGTTCTAAAGGTCCTTGTAAGGAGTTTAGTATTCGGTGACCATCGGTGTTGGTTGAGGTAGCTCCGCGAAAGATTCGCGATGGAGTTGCGAAAGTAACTTTTTTTCTCGCGAAAGTTTTGCGTAACTGTATCTGGGAAATCAATGATATGTGGAACCGTTCATCTTTTCTGCTGAGCCTTCCTTCTATTCTGATTAAAGCACTTTGTTGATGTTGCGCTGATAAAGCCTGGTGAGGCTACAGTTTGATACCCTGCTTGGCTGGTTAGTGCTCCAAGCCTGTGTATGTGTGTCTGTGGGTGTTAGTCGGTGGCTTTCCGCGCTGAAACGTGGGTGATTTTTCGCGAAAGTTCCGCGAAAGATCCGCGAAAGCCCGCGCGAAAGCGCAGGCTTCGATTGCAAGGGGAGGTATAGTCTGAGCGCCGACCTAGTCAGTATACTAGCTTGGTACTGGAAAGCTGCGACTTCAAGCTGGAGCTGCACGGCGGACGAAAAGCTGCGACTTTCCAGCCGGCGCACGTCATGTACTACCCCTGTGATGAAAAGTTGCGACTTTACAGCTGGAGTTGGGAAATCGATATTTCGCTCACAACGCTGGCACTTGAAAGCTGCGATTCTCTGACTCGAGAAATGAAAAGAGCACGGCGATGAATCCGCGAAAGATTCGCGAAAGTAACTCTTTTATTCGCGAAGAATGGCCGTTTCGAGACAAAGGGATTTAGATCAACCACCATGTGTGCATGTGTGCATGTGTGCATGTGTGCATGTGTGTGCATGTGTGCATATTTTGCGGAAAGTGATGGCATGGGTACCAGCGTTAGGCTGCGTTGGTGTTGGTGTTGGTTGGTTTTAGTGTTGGCGTTGGTGTGTGCAGTGCTGGGTGGCCAACCGGGTTTGGAGGTTTTTAGAGAGTTATTTTGGCCAAGGCAAGACTTTCTTTGGGGCCCTCATTTCAGGCACGCCAAAACCTCAGGGGAACTTGTTTTTTGAAAAGAACGATTGACATGAATGGACAAGGTAGATTTTTAGGTTTGACCCTCCACAAGACTCAGGTGTTTTCCTGTTTGACTGTTCAAAAGTGGTTTTCCCGTGCTGTTCGGGTCCTTCTTTGATTGGTTCTCAGGAGGTGAGGGAATGCCTCCCTATCAATCATCCCTTGTGGTTTCTTCTGCGCGCGGATCCCCTCCTTCATTCCCGAAACCCCTTTTGATTCCCCTATCAAACCAGTGGACCCCGCACACAGTGATGGTTTTCCTTTTGGTTTCCCTTGAAACACAGAAAACGGGGCACCCTTAACAACAGACGCACCCTTTTCCCGCTGGCTTAGAGGGAACCCAAAAGGAAGTGTTGTTTGGAGCAACTACCTTCAGATTCGGTTTTACCTTTTGCCCCGCGCTAATGTTGTTTTGTTTGCATCGTGAGAACAACCTTATCCGGTTTCCGTGGTTGGGTTTCCAAGTTTAGCCCAGATGCTGTCCACTTGTAGCAGATCAACTTGGACAGCCCAGATTTGAATTCCCTCTATCCTGTCTTTGCAGCGCTGGTTCCGAACTGTCTTTCCCCAATTTGGACAGCGAAAGGGAGCTCACCTCAATTGCTTATGATCACCTCAGTTTCTGGAGGCTTCACATTCAGGTTCTGGCTCAGGTGGCTTTGGTTGTGACTCCCGGTTTCTTAGGTTTTGGTAATTTGTGGATTTAGTGGTTGGGTTTCCAAGTACAACCCACTAAAGATTTCCACTTGCAGATCAGTTTGGCCAGCTGTAGGGAGTGGGAGTTTCCAGATTTAATCCAAGCGATTTCAACTTTTAGACTCAGGTGGTGTGCCGGATTTTGGCTGCTATTTTTACCTGGGAGGCTGCAACAAAGCCAATGTTGACCCCGGATCAACAAACTGTGAATTATTGGGGGAGTGGGGCACCATCAAGTGGTCTGATTCCCCACTACCAGGGAAAAAACACCCCCATATTAACAAACAGGTTGGTTGATTAATCCGGGGTCAACATTACTGGGCTGTCCTCATATCCGCTGCTCAAAATTGAAAACTGTAGTGGGTTACATCTGGGAAACCAAGCACTAAACCAACTAAACAAATCTAAAACACTAAAAGCCTAAGTTGAACCGGATGACTGTGAGAAATCATCCCCAAGGCACACCAGCGACTCGCAGACTCGCTGACGGGGCCCCTCAAAAGCTAAGTGGAACTGGATGGCCGGATCGGCCTTTGACCCTCAACCGACTTCCATGCTCTGGTGCATTTTGCTTGGATGTTAGGACTTTCACTTTTGCCAACTATTGCTTTTTTCCGTATTAACCCACTGAAAGTTATGCACTCATAGCAGGGCTTCGCAGAAAGCGACCGAGGACGGGCACCGACCGAAGCCAGTTGCCTCGGCCCCTCGGCCCAGCATCGGAGCGTCCGGAGGCGGCCTCGGCCCACGGCCTGCGGCTGGAGCTCCACTCGGGGCCCTTCGAGGACTTCGCGGCCGCGCGGAACCGCGCGCTGCGGCTGGCGGGCGCCCAAGCGGAGCCGGGGGGCCCGGGGGTCTCGGGGGTTCCCGGAAGCGAGGCGGCGCGAGTCGCCGAGGGAGGGGGTGGTGTGGCTTGGGGATGATGGCTCCCAGTCATCCGGTTCAACTTTTGTTAGTTGAGGAGGGGTTTCCAAATAGAACTCACTAAAGTGTTCAATTCAGCGGGGGATCTGAGGGTTCTCGGCTGCGAAACAGACTTGAAGTTGGCTTGGCACCCCCGCCAGAATGGGTGGTCTCTTTTTGGTGTCCTTTCAAAGCGGCACGAAACAGGGCCTCAAAAGAAGGTAGTCGGTTGTGGAACACGGCAAATCAACCATGCTATATATGTAGGCTAAGCACGAAGCAAAACCTGAACATATCAATTTTCTCGGGAGCATCCATTCGGGCTAATCATGCGCCCCAATCCCCCCCCCCCCCAGAATGCTTCAGAGCCCCTGTGTCAGAACCCGTAACAAGGTTGGAAGCCGTACTATGTTGTGGGGGCCCTACGTTTCTACCCCAGATGAAACAGACGTGCTGGTTCTCAGCAGAATCAACGAGGGGTTTTAGTAGGTGTTGACTTCAAGGAAACTGGACCGGATGGCTCATAGGGTGATCCCTCATTCACTGAGAACCAGCAAGTGGTGTTTGTGGAAAAGGGAAGAACCGGGTCTGTCGATTTCTGCGAGACCAACGGAATCCCCTCAGTGGCAAAGTCTCAGGATGTTATTTTCATTGTTAATATATATATATATATATATATAAACACGTAAAGGTATCGGTCTCCCTACCCGGAAGTGGGTGATAGGTGTCCCAATTAGTTCCAGTTTTGGAGTCCCAATAAGGGTGTTTCTCAAATCCCCCAAAATGGCAATGGTTTCCTTTTGCTTTCAATTGAAATTCCAGCCAAAAAGGGGCTCGCCATTTTGAGAAACTCCAGAAGAGATCATGAACCTTGCTGGTTCCCTGCAATTCGGTTCCTTAGCTTTTTAGCTTTCTAGTTGGTCTAGTGGTCGGATGTTCTATTTCACCCAAAAGTTCGTCACTTTTAGCGGGGGATCGGATCTCAGGGCGGCCCAGGGACATGGAGACCTGGCGACTTCAGGGGTGGCCCCCCCCCAACCCCCGTTTGTTCACTCCCTGGGTTCATGGACTTTTTAATATTTGTTGGGCACACATTTTGGTTGTAAATAACAAGTTTGTTTGTTTTTGGCCAGTCCACTCAGGAAGTGAGTTTGGTTTCCTCTCTGAGGGGAGCAGGGGGTTGTTTAGACCGGTTTTGCAACCTGTCAGAGAGTCTGGTAGGCAGTTTACAGGACCTGACTCACGGCCGATTGCTTGCGGTGGCCGTACGTTGGACAGTTTCGGAAAGGTTTGGAATTGTTTTTTTGTTGACCAAAACCAGCTGTGGCTTTTGAGGGACCAAAGAGACGGTGAGACGGTCTTTTGAGGATTAGCCGACATCTCTATTTCCTCCTAACCTACAGCAAGTGGATTCAGATCCCTGTATGAAACAAGGTGGTCAAAAGGTTGCCAGCGGAAGCCCTTTATTTGGGGAAGGCCGTCTGGAGATGAGCTGGGATATTGGCACAGGGTCGGAGCACCAGCTATGCGGAGTAGAGCAGTCTCTTTAAAAGATGATTCCGCGCGTCTCAACTGAAAGGCAACCAAGCTAGAGTTACGTCAAGGGAGGTTTTGGGTCCCGTGGCTGAGCTATAGAGCTATTCGAGTCTCGTTGATTCCAGCTCAAAAGCGCGGTGCATGAATGCTTGCGACTTTGAACTCGATTTGCACACGGTTTTTACTCACTCTTTGCTGTGCCTTTGACCCTCCCACTGCTCTGAGTCTCTTTCCATTCCTGCAGGACCATGCCCCTTACATTGCCGAAGCTGATACTTTATGGCGATTTGGTTGGATCTTTGGACGTTAACCTTTTGCTTTTCCGAATTGGACCCACGAGTTAATTCACTTTTTGCAGAGGGGTCTCGCCAGCAGCAACCAAGGTCAGTTGGGTCCTTCATCTTTCCGTCGAAAAAGCATCAGGTTTCTGCTGATGCTCAGCGGGGATGAGACCTTGGTGCACCCCAAAGAGCTCCGCACCTTTGCGCGCCAGCACGCCGACTTCTGCGGAGGCTCCGAGGAGCCGACGGGGCGCGGCTCGTAGCTCGTAGCTCGTAGGGTACCGAGGAGCTTTCAAAGTGGGTGTCACCTGAGCGGCCTCGAAACCGAAAACCGGGTGGATGAAGGATAGGGCGAGTCCCCTTGCCATGAATGGGTGCCTTCGCCGCCATGTCTTTTATCCTGAAGCATGGTTCTGGGAAGACCAGTTTGATGCCAGGAATTGATTGCGACTCACCCGCCATTTCATTTGCCGACCGAAACCTTTTTTGTTGTTTGGTTTTTTCCTTTCCAAGGCCAACGCTTGATAATATTTGCATGTCACGAGAGTATGATGAAATAGCGACCAGGCTATGGCTAGGAGAATACAGGAAGGAGATTGCCCAATCCCCTGACTGCTTTCTAGACGCACAGCAACATTGAACCATCTTGAGGGGCCTCTGATTTTGTGAGAGACAATGAGCACAGAAGTTCTTCCCGGAGACATTAGAGTCATCCGAGCCTGTTTGTACCTCAGTGTTGTTGGATCATGTTTTTAGGTGTTAAACATTTTGGTCCTGTGCATGTTGAGTGAAGGGGGGCTGCAAGAAGCAACGTTCTTTGCTTGGACAGGTACAATATGCAAGATGTAGAACTTTCCCGCAATTTTGTCGGCAGGTCTTGCTTGTGTGGCCCAATCTCGCCCATGGCAGCCTCAAGCAACTTGTCACTTGCATTGAAGTAGAGTCTGACAAAAGCCAGCAAGCCCGCACTGCAAAACGATTTGTTGTCCAAAAACAAAGGGGAGTTGTGGGACCGTGTGTGAAAAGCCCCGTCCGAGCGCAAGATACAATCGCTTTGACCATGGGTTACATTGATGCTTTGGAATTCTCCAGCAAGGTGGGAGGGATGCTGTGCTCGCGCCGCCGCCAAGCTTATCGTGCCGCGGTGAGAGCGTGGCAGCAGCAAATGTGCTTGACCCTATGCGTTTGGATTGGACACCAAGCATGCAGCAAGGATTCTCAGTCTTGTTTGGGGCGATGCGTTGCTTTGGTGAAGTTGTACGACGGTAGAAGGTGGCCGGCGGCCGTCTGACTCAGCAAACACAATGTGCTGTAGCCAGAAACACTTCATGTCGCCGGCATTTGCATTCGGCAGCCCCCCCACCCCAAAGCTTTCACCCCGGGCCAGCACTGCTTACTTTCAGCCGTGTTCGTTGAGACACTTCCAGTTTCGCAATCAAGCAGGCCCACACCACACCACCAGCACCCCTCAAAGTAGAGCCCTCTCAGACTTCGGATCTCCCTTCGGGCGCGCTCGGGAACAAAAAGGCTTCACGGCTGTCGGCTCGTGCTCTGCTCATGTGCGCCGTGCTGTGCGCGCCGCGAAACATCGGTCGCCGCCATGCCGCCGGTTATGCCGTACGTGCCTGGGCAGTTGGCGGAAGGGATGTCGCTGGATCACGAAGGTGAGCCTCTTCTTTATGGCTACCCTCCCACCAACTAACATGAAACTTGACAGATAATTCCTGGAAAACCATTTCCCTTTTCGAGGGATCCCCATGTCAGGTTCCATGTTAATTGGCAGGAGGGTATTTAGTAACGAATCTTTGGACGTTAACTTTTTGGTTAAGACTGGTCAATATTTCTCAAGGGGACCCACAAAAAGTTAAACAAGCTTGTTGCAGCGGGATCAACAGCAATCAAGACTCATGGACCAATGAAAGAATCTTAGATGGCTCGAACACACCTTAGATCCTGGAGTGTTTGGTCATTTCAGAGAGAAGAACAGGACATCATGACGCCAAGTACGTTCACTTACTCTACATGTGGGATATTATAGCTTTTAGATGTGGTGATATCCTTGGTCCAGAAGTGGAGTTGCAATGCGCTGGAATAGAATGTCTCTTGGTGAGGCGGATCCTCTTGGCGTTCCACTCTCCACTGGAAAGTCCTGCATACTAAAGGCCACGCGATTCTCTTAGGATTGCAGACCAAATGCCTTGTACTGTGATCTCACATGAAGGACTTCAGGGTTGATCAGTGCTGACCCCGCAATGAGGAAGACCTGACAGGAATTTCTCTAGGTGTGGCAATCACATGTTGAGCATTGAGCAAGGCGGCTTATGTCAGTAAAAGCTGCAATGCCGGGTGAGAGCTCCCAGCTTCTTTAGAGATTGATTCCACTCGCTCTCTAGACTCCTTTGGAGGCCGGCCCAAACAAATGGTCCAGGGACAGCCTGTGAAAGACGACGTCTGGATCTTGAAACAGTCAGATTCTTTCCGAGGGGTGTCAACTGCTTCCGGAGGATTGCTGCAGCAAACCCACGTACCGGTTTCAAAGGACCCGATTCCGTCGCACGGTCATCGACCCTTTCAAACAGACGTTGCATTTCCCCGAAGGTTCACACTTCGGTTGTGATATATCGTTAACCCCTAAGTCGCTGGCTGCGCCTCACCCCCAAGACCCCAAAGAAGGGAGCTCAGCGCGGGACCTGGTGAGCTCGATCAGAACAGGATTTGACGAGAGTTGCGCAGCCTAACCTGCTTGATGTGGGGCGTTGTGAAAAGGATGGCCGGTTCCTTTTTGGACCCGTTGAAGTGCCGCCGGCATGTGCCACCTTGAGGGGCCAAAAGGGCCCAGTAGGCCAAACCACACCCCTTTCCCACGTGGTTTCGGCCCTGATTTGCAATCCCTCGTCTTTTTTTGGCACCGGACCTCAAGATGCATCCCCGTGTAAATGATTTCCACGACAGGGTGCAGGTTTGATAGTTTGCAGTTTGCAACAATGATGGCAGAAACAGATTGCATGGGTTTCAGGTTTGACCAATCACATATGAATACCCAGACATGCCCAGGTGAACCAGTTCTTCCTCAGTTGAACGTTTTACCCTGAGGCGTGTTGAGCACCCCGCAGGGTGACTGCAAGTTTAATTCATCAGGTGACCAAAGTCAGAAACAGGCTTTGTGCCGGAAACCAGTTGTTTCATTCCCCAGTGACCGGATGACCCCTGTTCTCAGTCATTTCCGGTGCTTTTTTCAGGTGAGCCCTATATTTCCCTTTTCGGTGGTTTTCAACATCACCTTTTTAGCCCATGAAAGGTGAGTACCCCTTGGTGGGGGTGATGTTTTAAGGGGAAATATAGGGAGCCCTGTCTCAGGTGAACCAGTTCACAGGGGACGCCTCCTTTTACCCGCCTTTGCGGAAGAAGGGGCGCAGCGAGCGCAGCGTGGCGCTCCACCGGCTCATCGTGCAGCCAGAGAACAGCAGCTCGGATGCAGATGGAACGGATGGAACAGATGGGGGGAGGACGTGAAAGACATCGAAGGACTCAAGTTCGTGGTGGATATTTGGAAGCTAGTACACAAGAAAGATGTATGATTATTATTATTATTATTATTATTATTATTATTATTATTATTATTATTATTATTTTATAGCCAACATAAAGATCCTTAACTTGGCGATCCAATTCTTAGTTCAGCTTTTGGAATAGTAAAGTTTGCAGAGAGATGAACTATGGGGTGAGAAGAGGATCTGCTGGCAGGGTCACTCAGTTTGCCCACGGATGTGAATTGCAGGAATGCATGCTTTTGAGTGCCATGAGAAGCGCTGGAGATCAGACATACTGTGGATGGACGAAATCCTGCACCACTTGGAAACCATGGGAAACCATTGTTTGTTGGTATTTCCAGGGCAATCATTATTCCAGGGTTTCTTAGGTGGTGCAGGATTTCGTCCATCCACAGTAGCCTTCATGGGGTGGGATGGTATGGGTGAGTCGAGCTTAAGGCTTAGGCATCCCATAGGCAGCTCCAGGGAGTCTCCAAAAGGGCTGGATCTATTTCGGGCAACCCTACGTTTAACCTCCACAACAGGGATACAACCACTTGAAGTGGGAGGGTTTTTCTTACAACCATCATTCCACAAGTACGTCTTTCGCCTCCTTGCGCCGTCCTATCTTTGGGCCTTCCGCTTCCTTCAGTTCGGCTAGGCGTAGAAGACCTGCTGCGCATCGTGGAGCAGAACTTGCCCTTGGACACCGACAACCTGGCCACGGCCATCCACAAGCTCGCGAAGCTGCGGCGGAACTTCGAGCAGCGCCATGAGGCCATCACTGAGGCGAGAGCGAGGGCGGGGGACGCGACAAAGGGGGTGAGCGAGGGAGGTTCGAAAAACAAAGAACGTCGAAAGATGCGCGGTTTCCTTTTTGGTTTCCATGTTTCCCTGAAAAAAAGGCGGAGCAAAGGAGGGGGGGTGTGAGGGTGAAGGCCTCTTGCGGTTTGCTCGCCAATGGAGTGTCAATGGGAATGTATGCACGTGGCATGAATAGTTGGAGCGTGTGAAAGCAATGCCCGTTCGATGCCCTCCGTCCGCGGCGTGGTGCATCACGGGCAGTACGGTGCGGCATGTTGGACAGTCGTTTCATTGGAGAAGTTCCAAGCCAGTGTAGAAATGCTGCCGTGCTTCCGGTGTCTCGCTGGTCTCTGACACCTCAACACTTTTTGTGTGTGGCTAAACAAGTGTCGAACAAATTGAGTTCGCTAAAAATAAACAAGCCACTGACAAATCAGGGGCTTTGGGCGCGTAAACATAAACAAGACACTGGCAAATCAGGGGCTAAACACATGTTTCATGTTTCAGGATCCCCGGTGGATGCTCCTCATCAACCAGGTCGTGGAGAACGGCACAGACCCTCGGTCGCGGCTCGAGAGCCGTTGGCTATCGGATCGTGGGATTGGTGCTTTGACCAGTGCCCCTAAAGACGTCTGCCTCAAAATGGGGAAGTGTAAAGGAAACGAAAAGGAAACCGAACAGTTTTGGGAATTTGGGACACGCCCATAAACCCGGGATTTCCTCAGCCTTGACCGTACCCTAAGGGCTGGAGGACCTTCCTCTGCTAACCACAAGTCATAATAGGGTGAGTCCCATAACCATGGCATGCATGAGGGCTGTTCCAAAAGAATGAGTTCATAGCTAGTGGGAAAAGGGGGAGGTAGGGGTATCCAGAGTTTCCTTTGACGAGGGAGCCTTTCGAAGCT